GCTGGACTTTTCTGTTAAGGATTAATCATTTTTGAGGTTTTTGTGGCACCTATGTGGCATCCTGAAGCTGTCTGTTTACACGTCTGACTCACACTTTAGTCCAGGCAACTGTAAATATCTGCAAACTAGCTGTGTAGTTCAATGTGCGTACACTATTTCAACATCAAAAAGAAAAAAAAAATTGATTGGATGAAACTTGTTTAACAGGCATCCACTGCGGCAAATAAACAAAGAGGTGTTTTACTGTACAGTGTTTGTTCAGATCTATATCAATGGTGCCTCGACTACTTGAATCATGTTAATGTATAATAGACATACCGGGAAGTCTTAAGTAGCATCTTATTAAAAGGACATGCAGGATTATATGGATGGCTACTCAGTATCATAATGCGTCTGCTGTCCTTTCCCTCCACTCTTTCCACATGACATTAAGAAAATCTTCTATAAAGCTTTGAGTTTGTAATTATCTAATATTTTCAGTGGAAATCCACAAAACAAGCAGTGCTTCAAGGGGTGATACCTGTATGGCTTTGGCTGAGAGGTTGAAGTACTCAGGTAGACAGGCATGCAGGTAGATTCATATAGTATAATGTGTGTGTGTGTGTGTGTGTGTGTGTGTTTTTTGTCTAGATGTCCATGTCCACAGGTCTCAGATCCCCCGTCTTGTGTTCCTTTACCCAGAACTCTCTGTCTTTGGCAGGATCCACACTCTGCAGGAGCTGGTCCACCGGCTCCATCGTCTAAGAAATGAGCCAAATCAGAAAAGGTCTAAGATTTTTCCTACCACAAACACTAGTAAAATGTACACTACCCTTTTATACGTTTTGGGGGAAGAAATGTACACTTTTATTCAGCAAGGATGCAAAAAAATCGATAAAAAGTGACACTAACATTTATAATATACAAAAGATTTCTATTTAAAATGAATGCTGTTCATTTGAATTTTCTGTTCAAACTGTTTTCAGCATTGATAAAAATAAGAAATGTTTCTTGAGCAGCAAATCAGCATATTAGAATGATTTCTGAAGGAGCATGTGACTCTGAAGACTGTAGTAATGATGCTGAAAATTCAGCTTGGCATCACAGGAATAAATTATATATGAAATTATATTTAAATAGACAACAGATGTTTGCAATTGTAATAATATTTCACAATATTACAGTTTTTACAGTATGTTTGATCAAATAAATGCAGCCGAGGTGAGCATAAGACACTTCCTTCAAAAAAAACAAAAAACAAATAACAAACCACCCCAGACATTTGATTTGTACTGTAGTGTACTGTATGTTGTCATATGATAATTTAGTTAAACACAGTTTAACACTAATATACCTATATACAGTGGGTACGGAAAGTATTCAGACCCCCTTCAATTTTTCACTCTTTGTTATATTGCAGCCATTTGCTAAAATCATTTAAGTTAATTTTTTTTCCTCATTAATGTACACACAGCACCCCATATTGACAGAAAAACACA